TATACAGAGTGTCATTCACGCTTTAGTCTTCGTTTGTTCAACTGACAGCGAAGCAAGCAAAATTAGACAGTACTGCGATGACATTACAATTTAAATTCAACGTTTTAGCTTTTTCATATTCCTTGACATGTCACTACGTTTAAATAGGTTGACTTGGGACATTTTTTTCGTGGTTTGTGTATTAGACCCGTCGTCCATTTATTTGTAAGTCAATGACTCTAAAGAATTCTTTTAACAATGATTTCGCCGTTGTTCTTTACGTAGTTTATCATAATGTTCAAATCTGTAAGTAATATTTTGTAGTTGTAACAGTGGTATTACGCCCGTACGTAATTGTAGGCAAACGCTTTGCCGTAAACAACAAAAACACTCCTCTCTAAAAAACCTCTCGTTTAAACGTTTCCGGTGTACTCGGTGCCAAATTGCGGAAAGCCTCTGTGCCGACAAATTGCTCAAAGCGAGCTTCATTCTATATCAGTTGCTGAATACTCAATATCGACGGAGTAAGATGATAAGGTTGTTAGGAATATTCACTGCAAGATCTTTGTCTCACGTGCTGTTTTGGCCTCTGCCTACTAAGAATGGATCAAATCCAGGTCAGCGGATCCTTCCGGGATTAATGCTGTTAAACAATTTAACAGATGCTTTCATAATCAATAAAAAAATCGAAAAATAAAAAAGAAATTGCATAAAATACTTATTATTCACAAAAATAACATTTCATTGCCTTGCTTTCTCAAACTCGTATTTTAAAGCACAAAATTACTGAAATACAAAAAAAAATAGATTGTATATAGAAATTTTGCAGGTTGATTTCAAATTACATTTCCTTCATATTCACACACTGACTTTTATCTATTCGTAAAGTAATAACGTAAAGTAATAAAGTAATCCAAATTACCACCCTTGATATTAAATTTAAATGAATAGAAAGTTTTGCCTTCTCCTGAATAACCACTCTTTATTCTCGTATCTTTATAAGATACGAGATTGAGAAAGTAAGGCATCGATTTGGTGGTACATTGCATAGGAACAGTTTTTCGAAACAATGAAGCGATTCCACGGCTCCTAAACTAAGAAAATTTGTACCTCAGGAGTCAGTGATCCGGTGCATACAATATTTTTTTAATATAGGAAATGAAACTATTTTTCCGGATTCAAATCGCGTATATTTGTTTTTTCAAACAAACCGACGTTTCGGGCCCTTTACAGGTCCCGTGGTCACGGTTGACTGGGACCTGTAAAGGGCCTGAAACGTCGGTTTGTTTGAAAAAACAAATATACGCGATTTAAATCCGGAAAAATAGTTTCATTTCCTATGTGTAACAATCGCGAAAACCTAAGAACTCGATATGTACACCAATTTTTTAATAAATAAAATTAAAAACTTACAATGTGTCTTTGACTGAGGGAGTATATGTGTGGGGGATGTGAGTGTGTATGTGAAGGTTTATTAAAACAAATAGGAAGGACAGCACAGTGTTATAACTTAGGTGGTAAAATTAAGTTGATATCTTAGGCCATATTTCTTCCGTTTCCACATTGTTCAGGGTTTGAAGCCATGTTTGTTTTTTACATGATGTTTCAAAGGATGTAAGATCAGCACCCTTTCCAAACGATTGTATATCTATTGCAAGTAGATGAAAAAAAGTTAAATCTTCGTCGTTATTTATAATTTTTAATCCGCTGAGCTGTAACACAAAATAAACTAACTCAATTGTTTAATCCTACGGTATTGCAACACATTGTTCAGTTACTAGTCTTACAATAGTTTCGTAGCAATTCCGTACGTCCCGTTCCAATAGGACACTGTAACTGATCTGGAGACGACGGTTAGGTAAAAGCAAACTAATAACGGAGTCAGATGTACACAAATGACTTGCGACTCGGTCTAGATCCAATAGAATTGTATTTCCTTTGTGCAATGTCTGTTCTATACTTGGTTCTTGTAATGTAATATACTATTTGTACTATTATTGTAATAGCACAGGAAGTTTTTATTACAAGGTAAAATATTTGTGTGCCTAATGTATGGCCGGATACAGTGAAACTATAATTATAATGCGCACATATTCATAGACCCGCACTAAGTAAACCCTGTACCCATATATCATTTTATGTGGCCATATATAAGTCTGAGGAGATAGTGGAGTATATCAGGTATAAAGCCAATTACACCCTGAGGGTCGAGCGGTTGGAGTCTCGCCACAACGTGAACTTTAATTCGTTTGTGGTGAGAATACCGACCGGACATCTTTCGACCTTCATGAAAGAGGAATTTTGGGCGAAGGGTGTCATATATCGGCGATTCCGCGGCCGGTTACCTGACACCAGATTGCGCCGCACGTCGCCGATAAGTGAAATTGTGTAGATTAGTTTTTATTATTATATTGTATGTATGTTAGTTTTAAGGTATATATAATATAGGTGTATTTTGTTTTTATAATGATATGTATGTTAGTCTATAAGGTATGTATACATGGGTCTTTGTTACCTGATATAAATAAATAAATAATTAAAAATTAAAATAAATCATTTCAATTCTTTTAAAATATGTCTTAAGATGATACAGAGAATTTATTAATTATCTCAAAATAAATGTTGTCTAGTTTAAGCGTAATACGTATATGATTTGCATTTCGTTGTTTAATTATTATTATTGTTTTGTTTATATTTCAATAATTTTGTTTGTTTACAATTTAATCAACCTGAAATACAGGATTCTCCTAGTTCAGGTATATGTGTTATATTTTAAATTTATTCACATAATTAGTCTTTAGTTATTCATTTGTACAATACGTTATTCAATAAATAATTTTATTTATTATTTATTTATTGTATCGCGAGTGCTATGGACAGATACATAGACTACCACAAGTTACACCCAAACTCACGCGAGAAATAAATGTAGGCGTATAGGTGTCGGGCGCAGTGGCAGTGCCCTTCAGATATTTGCGATTTAAATATTTGAGTGGCACTGCAACTTTTATGGACAGGGGTGTAGCTTATCGTCAGGCGCACGACTTGTTCGTCCCGTTACTTAATATTTTATTTAAAAAAGTTAGGTCAATGAGAGGAAACCTGTACCCAGCCAGAGAACTATATCTACCCTCCTTGTCATAATTAATGCGTTTGTCCGGATCGGACATCCGGACACCCTCCGGACACAGATCGGACACTCGGGAATGTTATGAAATGTACATTTTTAGCGTTACCATTAGTTTTCACCGATTTACCTCTCTGCATCAAACACGTTGTGTGGTAGAAAACGTCGACCCTTACCTATTTGTTGTGACAAACATTTTTGCTAGTGACATTACAGGCACATGGGCAGCTGTTTTTTCACGATTACAAAAGTAGTTTGTTCGGGCAGGTTCGATTGTGTTTTTATGTTTGCCTACCGCGATTTGATTTCATCAATTGATTGAACGTGATTTCTAACGATGACGTCACACGGTGACAGACACATTTGCCAGTGGCAATAGATAAATCTAAAAATTAATTTATATATATTTATGAGTAATTTCACAAAAAAATTATTGAATATCAATTCAATAAAAGTTTAATTAAATATATTCATTTTAATTATTTGTTATATGTTATATATATTATGGCAAAACTCACATCTCGTACCTTAATTGAAGTGACCTTTCGAGACGGCACCAACAACAGCTCGTATAATAGTACTTTATGTGACTGTTACATAGAAGGGCATTATAATCTCAGTACAGAGTACTAAAAAAACCGACCTCAAAAGTACGTGGAATTACGTCTATTTGTTAAGTTTTATTGAAATATACTTTAGTTAGCCACTATACAGGACTTGACACTGGAGATAATAAAAATAGGTTCTCACTACGACAATACTCAAAGTATATTGAGAGAAAAACGCCTTGAATTGGAGAAATAGCAAAATCAACCATTAAAGTAATTGCTCCTAAATTAAAGTTAGGCGCTATTTCTAAAAATGAATCTTCATGCGTGAACAGCCACCCTTCGAGGTGGATGAGTTTCTTCAAAATGAAATAGGACCACTATGGAAGTACCCCCTTTCCAACAAAAAACGAAATCCTGAAAATCTGTTCACAAATACCGGAGTTATCGCGTAACATACATACAAAAAAAAGAAAAAGAACATACAGTCGAATTGAGAACCTCCTCCTTTTTTGAAGCCGGTTAAAAATACGAGTGTAGGTTTATAAAACATCATACGAGTGTTTTAATGCCTAATTATTTGCAGTTACATACACTGCTTTAACGATGCACATATTACAAGCTCTCTATGATGTGTTCAGGAACCGCATGTTACGACTTGCGAAATGGCGGCAAACTTAAAAACTTTTCTCACGCATGTGACACAACCGTAGTTTTTATTTAATTCATAGACAAACAAGAGTCGGCCCTAACGATATTTGATACCAAACGATGTGATAGATGCCGTTTGATAATTTCACACGTTACCTTAACAAAAAAATTGTCAAAATTGTTTGTTATTGATTCGAATTTCATGTTAATACTAAGCAATAATAACATTTTCACAGATAAGAAATTTATTTTTACAAAACAGTTATCTTTATGCTGGTTGTAATTTGCAGTTTTTGAAAACATCATAGAGGGTTTGTTAAGGGTACGGGTCGCGCGCGTGTCGGGTCGGGACCGCGCGGGTCTGATTCCGGGTATTTACATGGACCGCGAAGTGTGTTTCACGCTTTAATGTCTCTGGGTGACGGGCGCAGTGGCAGTGCACTTCAGATCTTGGCGATTTAAAACTCTCAGTGGCACTGCAACTATAGGCGCACGATCTTTTGACATCATAATAAAGTCTCTATATTCCTGAGACCAACGAGATTTCTTGGCATTTTTGAAAGTCTCGATTTTCAAAAATGCCAAAAAATCATCAAATTAACAAAATTCCGACGAGACCGAGATTACCGGAACGAAAGCTCTAGTTTTCACGGTATAGTGGTAGATACAGAAAAAAGAAACAAATTAGTATAATGGTATTCATATTTTTTATTTATTATTTACAAATCTAATCACATCCGTCTTTATCTAAAATTATGACATTAGTGTAGGAGAAGAAAATATTCATCACATGTTTCGCTTATCGAGCAAAATTATTTTTTAACCAAATTTTTCTTATTTTAAGTATACTTCGAAATTTGAAAATACGGAAAATTGAATGGGAGTTAATGAGATCACTTTTTTTACACAAAAAAAAGGAAGCGATAGAAAATTATTAAAAACAAGCGCTCAAAATTAGGCAATTCTAATTTTTGTGCTAGAAAATTCATATTATGTTTGCTTTGAGCATTATGTTAAGACGAAAAACTGTATTAACTGCATTAAACTTACACAACATGAATATTACTTATCAATTTTTTCCCTATATAACTGTAAAAAATAATTCACTTATTTTGAAATTACATATTTCACAGTACAAACTTGCTACGAATGGTCTAGATTTTTTTTTTGATACATTTTATTTACATTAGGTACAAATTTATAGGCCCAAGGGTCACTACACTATATTATTACACTATCTACTTTAATTGTTCGAAGGCACATCTTTGTAGAATTCTACCTGACCTATTATTTCATTGTCTGAAGTTTCTTTTTTATCTAGAACTTCTTTTCTAACTTTGCTGACGATTATTATGAAAATTTACGCTTTTGGCTTTATAATCGACAAATTCTTTTTGTGACTTCCAGTAACCACATAGAGTGCATAATACCTCCTCTGAAATTTCGGAATAACTGTGTGTTATTACTTAATACTCGAAATTATTTTACTATAGTACTGTCTTTAGGAGAAAAGTTTTGGAATTGTACGTAAAAATATAATTATTTTGTTTTAATTTTAGAGGGAGGTATTTATTATCCACTCTATGTATATTATATTTGTAGTTTAGGTAAATGTACTCGTGTTTATTCCGAGATCTGTTGATGACTGTACAAAGAGAAAGAAAAAGCCATTGCTGATTTAATATTTTTAACTTCTTTTTTTTTTTAATTTGACGTTCATTTTCTAAGAATGCAAACGGAATTTCAAATCAAATAGCTTTATTATCACGTAAAATGTGCAAGGAATTTGATTCTTACTAATGGTGTGGCTTTAATATTGCATGCCTATTACATTCTTATAAATAGTGAATAAATTATTTTAAAGAACATTTTTTAGAAAATTTTATTTGTTGCAGTTTTGAGTCTAATATTAAATATAATCCACTTAAGTTATTGGGTAACTTATTTTATTAATACAATGCTATAGTAGGTTTTCATTGTTGCCTAAAAAAGTATTTTCAAAGTTATTCTTTTTCATAACAATCATTAGCAAAGAACGTTTACATAAAATGACAAGAACATGAGGTGCTCGGTTTCTGGTTAAAACCACGTCAAGTATGATATTGAAAATATACTGCATTTCTTATATTGTTTTTCTTTATTATTATAAAGAAAATACGGAGTTAGAGACATCTAACACCGCTGTCACATTCATTTCGATTTTAAAAGCTACTGTACAATCAAATGTACATGATATTTTTTTAAATTTTACACAAACTAAGTCTCGCTCTTCATTCTTTGCAAAAAGAATCACAACCCTTAAACTACAAACGTAAAAACAAAACAATACTTTTAATTAACAAAAGTATCTAATTTTAGAATCTGACAAAAATCAACTAAAGATATTAATAACAGCTGGCCGGGAAGTGTTGCATTGAAAACAGTGTGAAACTGAAATGCATTCTCAAATTAATCGGTTATATCTTTTAAAACTGTTTAGATGTTAAATTAACTGTTACCCCATCTCGATTTGAACTTAGTAGAAAGAGCAACAAAAAAGAGCAACAAATTCAACATACTGTTATCAATTCAACACAAGTCCCGGAAGAAATAGCAACGGCTGAGAGAGGGAGCGAGACGGCCGACCGCGGGGGCGCGTCGCGTCGCTCAGAACCGCGGCGCCACCCGCGGCGACGACAGCCGCGGCGAGCGGAGCGGCGAGCGGCGCGATACCTGCACCAAACATCGCTTACAATCACAATAACCTTTTGACCAATCATCACCAAGCTGAAAATTTATCAAGAAGAGCCCACTATAGTCTTTGAAGATTGTGGAGTCAACATGGTATACAGACATATAAAAAATATGGAGAGTACTTTAGTTTTCCCAAAACCAAATATTCATAAGATCTACCACGACCTTTTTTTGATACAAGACTTGTTTACAGGTTTGCACTTACCTCGGGCTATGGCTTCAATCTCTTGAATCCCGCACCATCCTGCCCGAGTTTCAGCTCCTCATAGAGCGTGGGGTCGACTTCTCGCGCTGCAGGAATGGCCGTGCTTGGATTCTGCAAGGTCTCCTGTCTCCACGCTGTGCTGTTGGAGACGCCGTTCACGACGGCTGTGCCGCCATTTGCACTTCCATTTGGTAATGTTGGTCCGGTACCCTATTTCAGAAAATCCATCAATTTTCTGCACTTCCCCATCATTGTCGTAGATACTCCATCGTTTATTATTAAGAAAACAATATTGAGAAATAAATTACTCGAAACACGTCTGTCATGAGTTCATAAGCAACTGCAATTGCGCTGCGCCCCTAGCGGTTAAAAGAACAAAAAAAAATATAAATATTGTTTGCGGTAACTAGCATTGATCATAACTACTCATGATAGAAATTTCAAGTTTCAATTCTCAAGACATTTCGATGGAAAATACTTACGTTTACAACAGTATCGGGATTTGTTGATTCCCTGAGGTAGCTCGGATTCTCAAAAGCTACTCCACCTTGCGCCTTAAGTCTAAGGTTCTGGAACAAACAAAGTGGTATTGTAGTCGCGGACGTGAGTTTAGGATTATTGGGTCAGATAGTTTTCTTCTAAAAGCAATTTTGTGCTACTTGCTAGGGATGAACGATTTTTTGCTTGGTATCGATTTTTTGGATTGTAACGAATCGTATCACTTAGATGTTGCCAAACAGCTTTATTTCAGTCCAACAAAAAAAAAGGATTCAGAAAGATACTGTTTTGTTTAAATTAAGAATACCATCTAGACGATTCGATTCGCCTAAACGTTGAATGGATTTCTTGAAAATCGGATTGCAATAAATCGATACAAAAAATCGCTAGATCGTATACACTTGAATCGACCTTCATAAAAATCGAATGCTACATCATGCGTTCAATAGGATTCTAGAAACGGCTACGTCCTTTTCCTGCCCTAACTAACCTTTCTATGTCTATAATAAAGAGCAGCAGCTGCCACGATGGCTGCCACAAGAATGCAGGCGAGTGCGAGCCCGACTGCTGTCGCAGTACTGCTGCCCGCGACCGGTGCAGCTGCAGCGCCGGTCTCTTGCCCAGCAGTTGTGAACATGATCGGAAGGCTCAATGATGAAGTACCTAATGGAAGAACAAGCACTTTATTACCTCACATGGAGAACCTTGTTTGCTTTTTAATCAGGTTCGTTAAACAAAAGGAATATAATTTCAAATATAATTTTTTATGGAAAAACTAAATGTAAAATGAGACATTACATTTAGGTTGCCGAGTAAAGATACCGAATTTGAAACGAATGATAATAAACCATTTTTACCCGAGATCAGCTTGATTGGCCTAACGGAGTTTTAAAATCACTCACCAACATCGTTGGCAGCTTTCACGACGCACTCATAACGCACATCGTCCTGTAAGCCAGTGATGACTACGCTGGTTTCGCTGGTGTCTAGCTTCTCTGGCACCTTGGCGCCATAAGCGCGCCAGAACACGCGGTACAAGTACACAGTTTGAGGATTCTTGAAAGGTGGCTCCCAACTGTTTGAATAAAACGTTAGAATTAGCACAAGAAACACAAAAAGAACAGCGCGATCAGACAGACATTAATCAAAATCTCTAAGGTCGATCTTCAGCAAAAATTGTGCTCATAATCAACGGTCGGAAAAAGGTGTTCCACATATATAGATATAACTATAAGAAGCGACATAGCGTTATTAAAACCACCAAATATTAATTAATTACTTTTTCAAATTCCGGAAATAATTTTACTGCATCGTAAGACAAAATTACTGACTTAGGAAGTCGAAGTTGTATTTTAAAGTCATTCTAATGGTGCGATGTAAAAAATGAAAAAAATTATGGGGTTTTAAGAACACTATGTGCTCCTTGTAGTTATGTCTATACATGTATCTATGTATATCATTGACTTACAATTATATGGACGTCGGGTCCGCGCTAAAAAGTGTCCGCACTTGTAAGGCGCTAAAATACAGAGCGCCAAACTCCGCTTTAGTCTTCATTTGTTCGACTGACAGCGCGATACTGCGATGACATTACAATTTAAATTTCGAATAGGTTGACTTGGGACATTTTTTTCGTGGTTTTTGTATTAGACCCGTCGTCCATTTATTTGTAAGTCAATGATGTATATGGAACACCTTTTTCCGACCATACTTTTTTCCGACCATAGATCTTAATATTTATGAGCGGTAAAGTGTGTTGCAAGTAATCCGAAGTTTGGGAACATGTCGTCTACATGTTGGTATCTAGTTTATCAACAAGTTGTAAAAGAAGTGTCGTGGAAGATTTATTATTAGCTTTACCTCAATAAAACGGAATTCGGAGTCGGTGCAACGTGGGCCCTTAGATTTCTCGGCGGGCCTGGCAGCCTGGCTCCAGAGTCTCTGAAGCAGGCCAGCGCGCGTTTCGCATGAGTCAGAGCACAGGCCTTTGAAACTGAACCTCCGCGGCACAGCTCCAGGCAGTTGCGAGGCACGCCCCATGATGCGCAACAGCTTCTGTGATCTAGGAGGAAATTCTCGATTTTTAAAAACAAGAGTAATTTTCTGAGTTGTTGAGATTTACATCCATAATCAAGGGCTTATCTGGGTAACCGATAACAAACTCGAATATGTTTTTTCCGAAATAACGTTTGTTCGAATTTTCATTACTCCGAAAACCGAATTATATCGAAACAGTTGTTTATTCAGGATATGTTGGATATTTATCGCAAGACACGATTAGGCTTAAAAGAAAAAAACATTTTCCTCTCAAAACTACTTTCGAGGTTATGAAAATTCGAGCAAAAGTTATTTCTGGGAAATGTCATTTCGGACGTCTGATAGGTAATCGAATATATGCCCAAAGCAACGTTTTAAATGAAAGTGTATAGAAGATTTTTAATTTCGATCTTACCTGATCCGTCAGCAGCGCACTTCATGAGCTTCTCAAAGTCATTCATGCATTCTGGTCGATCCATGATGTTGTCCATATCCAAGTGGAAGCTGCATGCATCTATGCATTCCGATGATACGTTCATCTGCATGGAAAAATTTACCGTAAAAATATTCCTCGGGCAAAAAGCATTGAACACTACGTGTTTTTAATCCTTGTTATTTTCTCATCGTGTGAAAAGTTTCTTACCTGAGTGCAACACTCCGTGACGTTATGATGGGGTGTCGAAGGCCTGAGCCTGACTGAGACCGGTCTTAACGTCTTGCCGAAAGCGTTCTCTGCATGGCAAAAGTAGTCACCTTCGTCTGTTTCTGTTATCTTCTTTATTATTAATCGCATTGTGTATTTTGTTTGCTCCTGCAGAGAGAAAATATTTCCTGGTAACACAGATAACCGTAACAGAAGATTCATTGTTGATGTATCAACCCAAAATAAAAATAAAAATGTATTCGCACTAAATCACAAGGAACTTGAAAACACCAAAAATCTATAAACACTACAAATAAAACACACTTACGAGTGTATAAACACATTACATCACGTTAAGATGTAAAATTGTATGTTTTTGATGTCAGAACTATAAATCAATTGCTATTGAGGCAATTTTGTGTGCAAGCGAAAAATAAACATAATTCCTCAAAGTTATGCTTATCACGAACCCGTCCGTTTCGAGTAACAAAAAGTAAAGTTGACCGAAACAATATCAATAAATATTGAAAGTACCATTGGGATAGAGAACGCCTCATGAATACAAATGAGATTTTTGATAATCTCACCGATATTTATTATGTAGACTCTATTTGATTATGTGCGACTGAAGTGCCCTTCAATAATATTTTATTATAAAACCCACCAATAGTGTTACGTATACGCCTGTAATAGGGTCATGTGAACGTTACTTTAGGTTACACTTATTCAATTCCAACAATGTTTGATTCATTGCAATCAGAGGTATAATCAAAATTTATTGAGCCTGTACCTTTGAAAGTTGTATTTCTACAGTTTTTTCTTGTGGTCTTTGCTACAGACTTCGTAATTACTTTCATGAATTTGTAACTAAAAGTTATATATCTGAATATTTTCGGAACTATGCCAACGGTAGTTCAAAAGTTGACCGCTCCGAAAATATATCGAGACCATGACATTATCGTAATTGGTCTCATATCTTTAATTTCATTTAAAAGACCGAGATGAGTGTTGTAATTTGTTGGCGCTGTTCCACACAAAATATTTGATTTTAGTTATTAGGGCTTAAGGGTCATCAACACACAAATCTAGTCCAAATTTCATACACTGACATTATATAACTAAGCTTTATGGGTTCTTTGCTTGACCACAGAATCATGATAATCTGTTTTAGTGGAATGTGATTTACCGATTACTATTTACTATGCAACTAAATTGGGACTGGGCGGGTCACGTCTGCCGCATGTCAGATGAGTCGTGGCCGGAGGTGACCACAGAATGGATCCCGAAAGACAGAAAAGGATCATGGGGCAGGCCAAAGCGTCGATGGAGAGACAATCTAGATGCGCACCTAAAGGACTGAACGTCAGTGGCGTAAAACAGAGATTAGTATAGGCTTTTAAAAAGTGCAATGTTTAATTCGAAAATTGTGTTTTGGACTCAATCAAATAACTTTGGGAGTGAAAAGTTAGAGTTTACACTTAAAATATACATACCTATTTTATGCCATATTGACGTACAAATACACGGCTAAACATGTTGTTGGTTATAACACATGTTTAGTCATGGAATAGTAATTGCTGTAGCAGAGATACCATTCGTTTATAAACAAGAAACAGTCTTGGTGTCAGAATGGACCCTTGAGTGACACCATACAAAGAACTATTATTAACAAGCAGTTTCAATAAACATGTTTGTAATTTTCTTCACAATTGGTAGAAGCCAATAGAAATTCTTACCTCTGGGTCTGCCAGCAACTGAATGCTATAATTAGGTCCATCAATGACCGGGGTTCTTCCGCTAGGGTCTCTCCAGAAGGCAATGTTGGGTTTGGGCAGGGCTTCGACTCTACACTCTAAGATAACAGAGTCTCCAGCAGCTGCCATCGTTATGCCTGATGCTTGGATTATTGGCACATCTATTTGGGGAAGACATTCTTATTAAATTTTACTGTTGTTAGTGATAAATCATTCTTCACGTTCATTATTTTTTTGTAATAGGTGTGTAGGTAACACCTGCTAACGTACAAGTGTAAAAAACGTTGAAAATGAATACAAAGGTTAATTTGATCTATGTTTTGTGTTTTTTAAACACTACAAAAATATAACATGTCACGCCAATTTTGTGCCGATCATGCCGCCACCTCCGGGCGAAATTGGAGCCGAGGATTTTATGATCAGCGCCTATTTCATGTACAGATATATGTCTCAGGGACATGTTTGGATGGAATGAAATATAAAATAGGAGTTTGATCAAAAAATAAAATGTTAACTTACGTGAGATATTGATTTTTCTAGAAGCCTGCATGGGCGTGCCGTAGCCGTTGTCTGCGTAGCACGAAATCTGATCCATGTCGCGAGTCACGTTGTGGATCACCGTCACCATGTGCCTGGTTACTTCTTGTCTCACCAAGCGGCCTACGACATTATTTATTCAAGAGTGTTTTATCTAAATTTGTATTAAATTGATATGCAATTTTTTTTTAATTATTTCAATAGTTTGTTATAATTATTAATACACAGATCGAACACTTAGAAAAAAATCCTTCGATCCAGCCGGATTCGTTTTTCTAGCAAACCGTGCTAGACGCTATGCCAACTAAGCCACGTCTTTTATCTGTTAAGCAATAATGTGACCGTCTGTCACGACGGTACACTTTTGCCTAAAAAATAACTATACAGTCCTCCTTTGCCATACACTTTAGGAAACAAAGCGCTTTGTGCAAAACGATATAAGGAGCGTTCCGGAGTTTTTAGTTGACGGAAGGATGAACGGTAAGGGTTAAACTAAATTGAAAAATTCCTGCGCACCGACAAGCAGAACCCTTTTTTGCAGTGGTCGAGATTTTGTTGCTTCGACTCCAGAAGACATTTATTGCTACAACGTCTCTGCTATTCTATATAGACAGCATATTGCATATATCTATTATACATGTTTTTAAGTCCGAAATCTGTCTTCTCAAGATCACACTCCTAACACATTTCATTATACGATGATATGATGATACGATGAATGCCTCCTATTGTTGCACATTATTCTTTTAACCTTTAAATTTTTGACGTTTTTGCATTTAACTGTATACTGGCTGTGCAATAATAAATATAAGGAAATAATAATAAACAAATCGTCTGATGCTGTCAAGGCAGTAGATCGGTCAGAACTACATTCAGCACCATTTTTATGGAAGAAGTCGGTCCAGTTTGAATGTGAGACTTTGTGGTCAGTTAGTCTGCTAGTTAACCCTGAAGAGTTGATGTGATTGAAGGTAAAGCTCATAAACTATCTTGAAAGCTCAGTTTTGTCTCATTTTACCAACTACCATCAAATCGGTGGTACAAGAAGCGTGAAAGTCATCTTCAAACAACATCATGTAAAGTCCTGTTTGTTTCGTTGGCTGGTTTTGAAGGAACATGGGAATTTACTAATGCAGCTGTAGGAAGTACACAAAATTTCTTATTGCAGTTAACTTACCAGAAATGTACAGAGAAATTGTAGGTGTCGGCGTTCCCATAGCGATGCAAAGGATGGTCATACTGGAGCCTTCTACAACCAGATTAACTGGGTTTATCGTTGGCGGCTGTGGGGCAAAGAACACCTATTTTCAGTAATAAGGTATTAGTCCATCGCAGCTTAAGTGCTAAATAAGTAACGAGCCTCGCTTAGGACATAGACCTTACAAAGAAGGGTAAGTAGACATGGCACAGAAATTGGAATTTGTAAAACAATCTTGTAACTTTACTGTTTAATATATTCATCATAATCTTTGACATTTATACTACACTCATG